AAAAAAAAAAAAGGAAAATTGCACGATCATGTTTAATCAACTTTAAGGTTTCTTTAATTTTAAATTCGATAATTACAAACGAATAATATTTGTGCAAAAATTTGATAACAATGTTTAATAATCTATCGAGTGCAAAGGATTAAAAGTTCACTTCATTCTGTGAACATGATATTACAAAGTATTATTCAAAAGGCATCCTCTTCAACAGATCCAATTTCGAATTCCTTTTCGCTAATAAACAGCCACAAAATTCACCAAATTTATCTTCGCTTATTTTACGCGAATTCCAATCTCTTAATACGTATATTTAATGCCAATCTGTTTGTGAATTATAATCGGGCAATTAATCATCAAAATTGGACGTCGCCTTACTGATTATTTTTCAAATCCCCTATGAGCATCATAACAACATTTCATGGACCGATGAAAACTCGATTAAATTCCGATGGTACTTTCCCACCTTAATGGTACGCCTAAATGATACCGTTTTGCATTCGAATTGTTTCTGGAATGATTCGATTGGAATTATTCCTGCCATGAGGTACATATCGCCGGTATTTGATCGCTTATATATCGATTCTATATTGTTTTCGTTTCAACGCTCGTGAAACTTTAAATTCAAAAGTTATTGGAAACCAGAAATATTGTCGATCGTATTCGATGAATGTGTTCCGCTATTTTATCGAATATTTATGACGTTATGTTAATCCCAATTTGGAAATTATAGCCCATAAATAAACAGAAATGGTTTTTGAAGAACCTTCATAATTATTTTTTTTACTATAATATTTTATACTATATATAAATTAAAGTCATTGAAAAAATATTTAAAAAGTCCAACAGTAATAATCCATAGATTTATCTGAGATTCGAAATTATAAATCACATCGAAAAAAATTTCAGAAAAGGAAACAAACTCTTATATGTTCTTTACTTGGAAAAAAAATCGAATTATATGAATGTTATGCTCTTCTTGAAACTGGTCAATTTTTGTACAAAATTGTTTCGATATAATTACACAATTTTGAAAATATTTCACCTTGTATAAATATCATATAATTTCCCACGAAAAGATTTTTAATATTTTCATTTCCCAATTTTGTATCCGATTCTTTCTAAAAATATATTTTATCCTATCAAATTATAAAACTTTGGAGAATATTCTATTATACGATGTATGATTTTAAAAGGAAACAATTTCCTGTCTTTATCCAATCTGCATAAATTCCTCTTATAAATAATCGATAGAAGTCAACGTAGTGTTATTAATGGAAGTCGACGTCTCTTGATAGCGAACGTCTAGATATCATCAGGTTCACCTTCATTAAAGCTTCTTTGAAGAATACAAAGTTTCTGTACTATCATTATTACCATGCACGTAGTTCAAAATCTTTGATCTAGAATTCCGAAAGTAATTACATTGCTCTCGATTGAGATGATGAAGATGTGTAAACAGAGGAGGAAACAGAAGAATTTTAAATTGATAGGATCCAAATAAATTACATTTCATACGAGGAATTACAATTTATCACGTATCCTTGGCCATCCTTCGTTTTCCCAATGAATTCTGAATTTTAAATTATTAAATATTTCGTTTGAAAATATATACGCAAACACGTAATTTGATCTAAAGAAAGCGAAAATAATTATTCAAACGCTTAAAGTGATCAAATTCGTACGAAATAGGAGTTAAATTGATTCAGAATATCCATTTTGGCGAAGCGATGATTGCATTTACTTACGCTCAATTTATTGATTTTCATTCGATAAATGCTGGTAACAATTTTAATACGAATTTCGACCAATTAATAATATTCGTTTGATAGAATAATAATTATCGAACAAATTCTCTCTCTTTACTTAAAATTATTGATGTTACGACATTAATGATTCACGCGTATTATTACGATCTCTAAAGATTGTAAAGGATAAATTTTAGTAGTAGTTGAAAAAAAAAAAATTTATTCCAAAATCAGAGAATGGGATTATTTCTCGTCGTCGTTGTACGAAAAAGAAAAGTTCGTATTTCTTTCTTAGAAGTTTTTTCACACAAGGACGTCGAGAGAGATAATATAAGAACGTTCTTTCTTTCCAACACCCTGTTTTCCCACCCTGTCAACGTGGTGAAAAATTGCACCATGGATATTGGCTGTTTCATAAATTCTAATGTTAACGAAGTGCGGAAACGTGTATTTGATTCACTTATAAAAAGTATACGACGTTTGCCCAAGGATATGATGCACTTTCAAGGTGAACAAATTATACTGTAAAATAGGGAAGAAATAAAGTTTCTTCGAGTAAGAAGCAAAATTCAAACTTTCTTGAATTTTGTATTAATCATCCTTGAGAAACTTATTTATTATACGATGTATTCGTGATTGCACTAACATTTGTACATATATATAATGCATCATACGTATGAGAATTATTTCTAACTTAAAGAAAAATTAAAATTAAGTCGTTAAAATTTAAAAGAATTTATTACAATGGAAACTGAAGATTATGCTTGTAGCATTATGTTCAATTAAATGTAAATTAAGAAGCATCTTGTTTGTCTCTATATATGAATAAAAATAGTTTTCAATTTTTTTTTATAGTTTCAAAGTTATACATTATTTTAATCAAAATGATATTAGAATATGAAAAAGAGAAAATATATTGTAAAAACTAATTCAATATCTTTAATCATCTAAAATGGACCGTTATGAGAAGATTGTAAAAATTTTTCATTTACTTTGGTTTCATATTGCAAAAAGATATGCCTTTATAATTGAATTCAAAAATTTATAAAATCGAATTTACTTCGAAAAATGGGCCGTGGAATTCGTATCATCGTGCATACGAATTATCAACAGAACGAAATAGAAAGAAATCGTCTCTGGTTATCTTCTCTGTTCCAACAAGATACTTACTTTTTATTACGTCCCTATTGCGGGTACTGCTCTTCCTATCTCCCTTTTATTAGTGGTATTTTCGTTTTATTGTTACATTTAGTACCTACGCTGTTTCTTTTTATCGCAAAATTGGATTTTACTTAAAATTTTCCTCTCTATCGTGCAAGAGATAAATCTGGTGGAACAAGGAAATAGGTTAAACCGACACCGGACCTGTATTTCACTTTGACGATTGATCAATCTTTCAGGATTGAAAATAACACTTTTTTTTTTTTTCAGAAGCCGAAATGTAATGGCATTCGTACCTTCCATATTTCTTAAAGGACTTTGCATCAATCTTCGTCCCCATAAGTTCTCGACTGAGAGCTAATTTTCCAGCATAAAACCTTGGAAGTTACGTCTAGGGAGAGGAGGACACCGATCTCCTAAGTAATATACTTATCGAAGTTACGATTAACAAGCTTTCACCTTTTTCACCTCTTAGTGAAAAGTCTACTGTAATCCTTACTGTTGGCGAGTAAGTTGTAAAAAAAAAAAAATTTTTTTTTCTCAACAACAAAGAGAACAGAAAACTAGAAATAATTTTTTACTTCGAAAGTAATTACAAGTTTTATTATTCGTCCTTTGTTGCGTCATCTCAATCCCGTTCGTTGAATAAAACAAAAGTTTTATCGCAATCATAAGTAAATTACAACTTTTATTCTTTACCGAGTCTTCGTCTCGATGTTTATCGTTTGCAAATAAATCTCTTGAAGAAAAAAAAAAAATTTTTTTTCTTCCAACTTTGATTAAAACGATATTGGAAGAATATTTAACAGGAAAGGATAAAAATTATGTAAATCCTATGGAGAAATTATAACGTTAAATGAGATCTTTTTAGAAATACGATTTCCTTTTCTAAAGTAATCCATCTTAAGTAAAATCCATCTTAGTTCCTGTTCTAATTAATTCTAAACAAATTGGGCAAATTTGTGGAAAGGAGATCATCGCCTTAGAAAGAATATTAAAACGATTATCGGTTAATTCCGACAAAATTATGACAAAACATTTCGTTCAAATTTGAAGTACAATAGTAAATCTTTGAATAATCAAAGGAATCGAACAAATATCGATAAAATAAATTAAAAGGTAAAAGAAATAAGTTTAAAATAAGAACGAAAATATATAGTTCAATTTTTCCAGTTTCATTCGTCTGCATTTGTGTGAAGATGTTGAACCAAAAAAAAAAAAATAGACCAAATACAAACTGGAATGCGTGAAAAGCGGATTTTTCAATTAACGATTTTTCGTTGAACGAAAAGAAGAAAAGTCGCTTACTGTTAAAGTTGCCAACTCGGCAAACTAATTTGGAATTCGTAATCGTATCTAATTTATTGGATCGAGAGAATTAACTTGGTCTCCAGGAATTTCAAACCTTGTTGAATTGGCTTTTGTCACTCCTCCTAGTCCTGGATTCGACATTTCGACGCGCCAGATTTTTTGACACGACCCTGTCGAATCCTGTGTTACTTTGAAAGTCAATCAAACCAAGTCGATCCCTCAAAAATTCGAGAATTCTTCGATAATTTAAAACTAAAGGGAAACTTTAATAATCTAATTTTTTAATTTAAAATATCGAGTGGAACAAAATTTATTTCGAACATAATAAATGCGATTTAAAATAATTGTACTTGTTTAAAACAAGGAATCGATATTATTAATAAAATTTTTAAATAAATCCTCTTTCATAAAGTAATAAAAAATCCGATAATTAAAGTAAGTAGATGAAATTTAACAAGAAAAATTTTATGAATCCTGTCCTCTGATCTTGTAATACCTTATAGGTTAACATTCTCACTAAAACTAACCACACTAAGAAAATATCCTAAGATATATAATGTAAGTAAACGAGCACTATTATTTGTTTATTCCATAAAATTCTTTCATCCGTATCGCACAACAACCATACATAACAAAATAAGAAACAATAAGAATATACGATACGACAATAAATCGAATCTCCACCTATCAAAGAATCGAAAACTTTCGAGATTCTTTCGAGCCCTCCTATCACGAATAAATCCAATTCTGTTCGCAGGACGTGACTCGTGGGTCGACACGATTCTTTCAAAGCAATGTCCAAGCTACTTCTCACGACGCTGCTCCCTCTAACCATCCTTTTTCGCGTCGCCTGCAAATTATCCAAGTCTGACGAATCGGACAGCTATTCCAACCTATACCCTTTCCTGGAAAAATGGGCCAGGACCAGTCACACGAAGATGCTGACCGTGGTGTTCGACGATTACGACTTCCAACGGCCCCCCTTCGACATCCCCTCTGAAATGCTGATCGATTTAAACGTGTCCACCAAACTGGTTACTTTGAAACATCTAATATCTCTTAGAAACAAGGACAGAAGGCGCGATTATCGAACGATAGAGAGTGAAAATTGCGTGTTGCTCTTATTCTCCTCCGTGGACCATCTCAAAGATATCCTCAGCTCGCCCCATTTGATCTCGTTCTGGCATCCGGAGAATTTCTACATACTTCGCGAGCAAGGGCGGTCGTCCATCAGCTCGTTCGAGCAGGAACGATTCTGCCAGTGGGCGTTCGAGAGGCTTTGGAGGGTGAGGAAGGTGCACAAACTGCTTCTGTTCACCGGTGATAAAGTGATCCGATACGATCCTTTCGATCACAACAGGCTTCGCGCCAGGTATGACGAAGGTTGCAACCGGTATTGCAATAAATCGAGCGAGGAGGATGGTTTTCTATCGATCGACGGGTCGAACATCACCGACGTGTCCGATCTCTTCGAGGAGGAGAGGATCGACTTCGAACGATACCCGTTGAAAATATCCATCTTCGAGACGAGCACGATCTCTTTCAAGGAGGGGAGATATTTCGGTTTGGATTTCAAGTATCTGGAAGAGGTTTGCAAAAAGATGAACGTGACGCGTTCCCTGATCAAGTCGAAGGATAGATTCGGTTGGGAGGAGAACGGCACGTTCTTCGGGACAATTGGACACTTGGTATACGGATTTGCGGACGTCTCGTTCAATCAATTCTTCGTCAAGGATTATATGACCAGGCAGCTTGAGTTCACCGCGTCAATTACGAGTGACAAATTGTGCGTTCTTATACCGAAAGCTGCACCCCTCCCCGATTATCTCGTGATAGTCAAGATCTTCACGGGGAAGGCATGGTTGCTCGTGTTCGCCGCCCATTTCGTCATCGCTATGATTTACACCATCTTGAAGATCGAGAAGTATCGAAATATGCTCGAGGCTGTGAGGAAAAGCGGCCAGGCGTTTTTCTGCTGCGAATATATTCCCGACTCGTATTTTCTCGAGGATCGAAACGGTGTCGTGTTCAACGTTGTTCGAGAAACGGGCGAGGGGGTATCGTACGAGGAAGACGAGCGAGTGAACGATGGAAATACCAGGTATATATATATGTATATATATATATCGTATGATATAATACCTTTCGCCTTTGAAAGATTTCATCAGAGCGAAAGAAAAAAAAAAATCATGACGGATTATCGAGTCGAGTTTTGAGAGGAGAAGGAGGAATATTTTATTTGCGTAACAGCGAGCCATTGTTTGAATAAAAATATGGATTTACACAAAGTATGTAGAAGAGAAATATACGATGGAATTAATACGAATAGAAAATGGGTTGAGCTTTTATCGTGGAAATTTGAATATTTAAAATTCGAGAATTTTCTTATTAAACCCTGATATTTGACGAAAAATATTTAATTTTATTCAACTTGCGATATCTGTTTAAGAAACAAAGTTCTTTAAATATTTTAACTCTATCCTGTTTTCGATAAAATTTTCACTAAATGTTTGTAATAAAAAAAGTTGTTTATTTTTACCTTTCTTCTTCTCTTCACACATTTTCGCAAATCTTATTACGCGAATCTTTGCACAACGAATACAAGAATGATTTTTATTCCAGAAAATATCCTCGTTTTGCTAACAACTTTTTCCTGTTCGATGGATCAGAAAACGTCGGACGGATGGCATCCAATACGAAGAAAAACGACTCGAAACGATTCGATCGAGCCTCTTTGTCCCTTCTGATAACTCTGGCACGGTATTTAATGAAGGTGGTATTTCAGCTTATGCAACCCTTTAAATTGGGTCAACCATGGTTCCCGGAGAGATTGTTGCTGTTATGCAGTCTACTTCTCAGTTTGATCCTCAATGGAATAATCACATCTCAACTTGCCTCCAGTTTCAGCAAACGAATGTACTACGAAGACATTAACACGTTGGAACAATTGGAGAAAAGCGGTTCTTACTTCACGTCTCGATTACTTTTCTTTCTTTTCTTTTTTTTATCCCCATTGTGCGTGGAATTTTTATTCCTTCTAATTTAATTTATTCGTAGGGATCACGATTTTAACCGACGCCAAAGATGTCATAAGCGACGCGTTCACCGATGTAACATCACCGTTGATTAAACGGCTTCACGAGAGATTGGAATACGCGAACAGATCGGAAGTTCATAGAAGGTTGTTCGAGGTGAGGGATGCTGGCTATCTTCACCGAATCGCAACCCTCCCGTTGAAATACGACGAATACCAGAGGAAAACGTTGCACGTCGTCAAAGAGTGTCCAAAGGATTACATCATAGCCAATGTGATGAAGAAAGGTAATGAAATTACTCATAACTTTATTTTACTCGATCATTTGATTATCATTGTTTTATCATTTTATTCCAGCCATAATTGTCTCAACCTACTAGTCAAGTAAACACGACTAACTTATTTTACTTCTCCACTGACAACCTCATAATTTACTTGACTATGTATAATTGTTTTGTTCTACTTTCTTTTTAACCATTCTTAGTTCGAATCCTCGTTTCATCACATTCTATTGCATCTACACGTATTTCGTCAAATCCTTAAAAATGCACAGAATCCAACTAGGTATTTTCTTTATAAAATATCGAACATTTTTTCGCCTTCAGAATTTAATCGATAAAGTGTCTAAAATTATTTTCCTTATATATATTCCTTTCATTATTTGTTGCTACTCTTGCAAAATTCGTAAATAAAAATATTCTTCAAGTGTTGAATCGGAAAATGCAATTTCAGGATCACCTTTCGGAAGACGTATAAACACCATTCTTCTCAGGTTGAACAATGGTGGTTTCTATAAGATTTGGTATCAAGCCATGTACCAATCGTTGAAACGGAAAGAGATGATGACGCTCGATGACTCGTCGATACATCGAAAGATCACGATTCGACATTTGTTTATCCCTTTCGGGATATTGTACCTTGGACTGGCCACCAGCGTAATCGTATTCATCTACGAATATCGGCAAAACAACGTTTGACGTTGGTTAAGCCCGTTTGCTCAAAGGGATGTTCGAAACGAATGTAAAAAGCGATAACTGAAGTGGAAATCATTGTGTCTCCAACGTGTCATTCCTTTTCCCTTTCACCACCAAAGGGTGAAGCAAAGTAAATGGGATGTGAAAATTTAAAAAAAAAATTCATTTCATATTTTCTTGTCTTTTAGAAAGAAAATATATAGATAAGAAACGAAATTGTTCTCGATAATATAGCTTTTGACGAACAATTTTTATGATTTTCATTTTTCAATAATCTTAAAACGTATATTTTAGGAATATAAAAATTATAATATCAAAAATGATATTCATCTTAATTCGATTTTTATATATAATAATATTTATTATGCGAGTATAATTGAACGAAATTTTGTTATATTTACACATGGTGAAAATTTTGATTAAAATAAATTAAATAATGAATTCACATAATGATTCGATCAATTTATAGAGAGAAACATTTTTCTTTGGCAACGTGTAATTGTAATTAATTTTTTAAATTTCTGTAAACAAGATTTATTCTGAATTTAACAAAATCCAAAAGAAATTCTCCGATCGCATTCATTCATTATAAAAGTAGAAAATCGTTCCGAGAATTACGAATCGACTGGTCATCTCATTCTACGTGGATTTTCACGATAATACATATTTATACATCCCCTGTGGAAATATCTTTTCCAGAAAATTAAACTTAAATCATTCTTGTTCCATGCTAAATTTAATAGGCTTTGCATCTTTTGCCAACGTAATATCATTTTTTAATGATACTTTTTTTTTTTCTTTTATTATCTTGACACGCGAAGAATTTTTATTTAAGAATTACAGATAAAGTTAAAAATTATTCTATTCAAAAGTTAATTTGAATGACGATTCCTGAAAATTATTCCATCGAATAAGAGAAAGAGAGAAGAAATTCATTCGAAGTAATAATAATATGTTAAGTTTTATATAATTTTGTCTAAATAAAGGAATAAGAAAGAAACGTAAATCCTATCTAAAAGTTAAAATTACTACTTACCCGGATTAATTAATAGTTAACTTCGTATACACTCTTAATACACTTAGATTCAACTTTTAAACTTTTTTTAGATTTTTAATTTTTCGAATTTTATAGTAACAGTTTTTACACTTTGATGGATAAAAATATAATTTTTTTTTTCTCTCGCTATAAATATTCACGAGCACTTTCAGATCGTTAAAAACTAAACGCAATCGATTTCAACGCCATCGACCTTTCTCTGCGATCCGTTTTTTCTTTGCACAATTTTTCAATGAAAAAGGAATAGAAGAAAATTTCTTGTGTGTACATGTACATGTAAGAACGATATGAATAGCAAAAAGATGCTGTTTTTTGGAGAATATTTTTCACGATATATTAAAACCGTATTAGAGTTCGTTATGGAACGATGGATCGTTTTGTCTGATTTTATCTCTCGAGATTTTGAAAAAGAATGGAGCATGTTTAACATGTCCATTGTGTGCGCATCGCAAATCTCAGTCGACAAGGTCCATGTACGGTATATCGATTTTTTTCCATACAATAACCCAATACACAGAGTGTTTGGTTACATATGTTCAAAAACTTGGGACGTGATTCTTCAAATATATGATATTATTCTTCAAAGTAAGATTCAACGATAGAAAAAAAGTTGAATTTTCAATTTTATTTTTTATTGACAATTGAAAATCGACGAAAATACTCCTGGACACGAACAAATCTCTGACACGAATGAACGAACGTAGGACATATCAGTGATCCTCAAATTCACCAACTTATTTCCTATATAAATTATAGAAAAAAAGGTTGCAAAAAATGATTATATCCTTATAAATAATATTTTTTTCAAAGATAAACGTATCTAAATCGCATAATTTAAATGTTTTAATCTGAAAACTCGTTTAAACCTCGATTAAAATTAGGAAAACTTTAAACCGTTATAACTCCGAAGATAGTCACTTCCGGTCAACGAATGAAAGCTCATCAGAAGCGCGGAACCTTGCCCTTTAAAATGCTTTTTCGTTTATCCCGATACGACTTCCGGTTCTCGAGATATCGTCGTGTAAAGAGAAGGGTAATTTTTAACCATTTACCATCTCCGTCCTTGTCGCTTACTCGGATCTCTCGCTCGCGCCTCGTCTAACTGACCTGTCCCAAATTGCAGACAAGCGACAGACGCGTTTCTTAGATACCTTACGAACGTAGTACGTAATTCGAGGAAAAAATATAGGTCATTGGATCGCGGGCCCATTCATAATTTCTGCACCGTCTCAAGCGCTGTAGAAATTATAAATCCTTATATCTCGGCAATCAATCGAGATATCGGGATGAAACAAAAAGCAATTTCAATGGTATGGTTTCCACTGTTTCTCGAATAGATTTTGATCGACAAATTTTCAGTTTCTTTTTCTGTTTTTTATATAAATGTTTGAAGTGTTATTCGTGATTTTTTTTTGTAATTTTATAATCGATTTGTTATTATAATACAAAGAATTGATAATATAGATATATTTCACGGTTTTATATTTTATAGGATGGACAGTAAATAGGCAAAGTATTATAAATATTATTTCAATATTGTTATGTATGCATGTGTTAATACCTCGTATCTAGTTGATTAAATTTAGAAGACGATAAATATCGTTGCGTTTGAAGATCACTGTGCTCCTTGTTATTTGAGTTACTCTTGATTCGTTCGCGTAGAGAGGTTTGCTGATGCCCATCGGATATTTTCGTCGTTTGTCAATAAAAAGTAGAACCGAAAATAATTTTTTTTTTTATTCTTCATTTTTTTCTCCCTAAATTTTGTGATTTTTTTTATAGTGATACATTAGATTATACGTATAATGTGGAAAATTCTAACTTTTATAATCGATATAATCGTTGTCAAGACACATTACACAGACGATCGGACGATAAAGAGAAGAATTTCGTTCTTGCAAAGGACGATCATAATTTCACGATCATAATGGAAAATTTTCATTAACATAATGTCCACATCGCTAGGATTGAATAGCAATTTCATCTGATCTATCTTGGACGGAATGCGGTCTCACCGTAATTTCGTAATTCTCAAAGCATTATATCTAAAATTTATTGAAACGTCACAAATATAATCACGTATATCCGCTTGACACTACTCAAAGGACAACATTCGTTTCTCCAAAGACAGAATCACTGTTTGATATAATAGCAGATAATTTGCACAAAAGAATAATCATTCGTTCTGCGATACTCTTAATATTTGACGTTTCATTCGTTTTGTAGTGACAGGAATTTTTATTACGTTATACCCTCAACCGTAGGACGATATAAAACTATATTAAAAATCGTAGAACGCTTTCTATTTCCGATACAAATCTTTAGAATTTAATAAAAATTTAAATATTTAAATTTTTCTATTGAAATTAATTTTGTATTTTTATTTTTACATAAAGTATATCAAATATCGATACTTTTTCTCTATTATAAATATATATTTTTCCATTTGTTGTATATAATGTCTGTATAAAAGTTTCATACACGTTATTATTATTAAACATGTAGAACTTTTAAATGTTTAGATAAAAGTTTCTGCAAGTATATTAATATTGAATGATTAATTTATCTTCAAAATTACGCACGATTTAATTTTATAATAAAAATATCTTTAGCAATATGATCAATTATTCGACGTATAATATAGTATGTAGAAAAGAAAGGAAATCAAGAGAAAATTTTCAAAAGTTTTTCTATTGTTTAAAATTTCCGTTAAGAATAATTTCAGATGATTATTCTTTCTTCTGTCTTTCACCGCTAATATTAATAATTATTCTCCGTAATATAAATTTTCTCATTTACCAACCAACTCTGAAGGAAAAGGAAGGAAGAAAGTATTTTCAAAATTCCACCTGTGTGTAATTTCAATTGTATTTTTACACGAATTAAAAAAGAACTAAAAATTGGAGATTCTATTCGAAAAATAAATAATGAGATTTATATAATTTTTAATCATTCAAATCGATAGATATTTTTATAAATTTATTTACAAAGAAGAAGAAGAAAAATTATTATTGTTATGGAAAAACAGAATTTAACATAATTATTGCGCGGATTTTTTGAAAAGAAATATTTTTTTCAAGAGAAATACATTTCTTGTCTTATTGTTAAGTTGATTTGTGATAAGATTCAATCGTTTCCACGAAAAAAACAAATACTTTCGTAACACAAACAGGTACAACTTAATCGCATTTGGTGAAGCATCTTCTTCGAAGAAATGAAATACGTGCTTTGAATATTAATTCGAGGTACAAGTCCTGTTTAGGTAATTTTATCGAAATTCAAAATAGTTTGATTTATAATTTATTCTTTACATCCAAATATCGATTTGTTTTTAATGTACATCATTAATTATCTCGCATTAATAATTTATCAAATTTATTATAAAATTGTGGTTTAATAATTAATCAACCTTCACAAGATGAATAAGTAATTAATAATTTTATTGTTATTCAAATCGTTTTCGATTAAAATAAATCAACGTAGTAATTTTTTTTTATTTAATTATTTTTTCTTGTTTCTTCATTAATAATGAAAAACGTATGAATTTTTTTTTTTAAATCAAACATCAAACAAAGCTCCTCTTTTTTTTTTTCGTATCGTGTCAAGTGGACGAATTGAATTTAATAATAAATAAGGCCGCGCGTGTTTCAACGGCAAGGAAAAGGATTCAAGTGAAAATAACTAATCATCGTTGATTCGGCAGATGATAACCAGCTGCCCCGCTCTCAGATATTCCGATTTAACGATTTTCAGTTGAAATAAACCAAAGAGGCGTGTTAAGGAAAAACAAACGAAAGGGGACGAAAAGAATATTAAAAAATTCTTTCTCTCGTCGTCCATGAGAAAAAATTAAAACTTGGGAACAAAGTTCGAATAAATTCGCGTGGAAAAATTTCCAAGAAACGTTACAACGATAAAACTTCTTTATTGCACAACGCGTTTAAAATTGCCAGTGATTTAAATTCATCAATTTAAATTTCCCGCTAAAAAAAGAGAAAGAAAGAAAGAAAGAAAGAAAAATATAAATCGATCGATCTTTCCATTTTAAACATTTCTAACGTCTCTTTCTATTCCGTTTCGCGGCTTGTAATTCGCAAAAGAATATCAAGGTGGACAAAAGCAGACCGATGAACAACAATAAAAAAGCCAAGACGTAATAGCCGAGGGACAACTTGTGTATTTTCACGAAATCTTCCGTCCCTCCTTTGTTATATAACGTAACGAAGTACTTCATCTCGTCTATCCAGTGTTCGGGCAGCCCTGCCTCCGCCATTCTCAACAACACGAAATTAACCCTTTCTGCGTACGGTGAATGCAATTTCAAAATGTAAGAAATTCTATAAGTCATCGCGCACTCGTCCACCATGTACAACGAAGATTTTTCACGATCGTTGTAGTATCTGTGAGGTAATAATTGCATATTGTACAATCTGGTCATCGAGATCTTATCCTCGGCCAACACGATATTTTTCGTCGATCGTTGAAACTCGATCACTTGAATTTTCTCCCACAGGTCAGAGCCAACGAACGCTTGCTTCAAGTTCTCGTATTTGGTGATCATCGTCTTCCCGGATCTCACCACCTCGTCCACCGTGCGATACTGATAATAATGGAAAGGTTTGTTCAAGCTTGAAACGAGAAAACTTTGATACAAACCGCTTATAATGAGATTGAAGAAAAGTATGCCGGTCAACAGAGCTCTTTCGGCCGTGTATTCACTGTCCCGTATAGGATAGCAAAGGTACTCGAAGAAAGCGAAGAATTTTTCCACTATCCGAGGAATTTCCGGTGGCTTCCCCCCGACGGAATCCCAAACGGATTCCCCTCGAACATGTGGAATCTTCGTTCTTTTCTCGATAATCCTCGTACCTCGATGATTATTCGAGAAAGTTGGCGGCCGACGTCGAAACGACGAGCTTAGATACCTTACAAGCCTCCATAACAACGTGATCAAGACGTTGTACATTATCAATACGAGCCACAAGTGGGCTCGAAAAGGGAAGAAGAACACGTACATGTTGGGTATGAAGCCGTAATTGGTCATCACGAAGCATATCTTGTCCTCGTACATCGAGGGTGTGAATTGAAACTTTTGAAAACGGTCGTAAGTCTTGACGAAAAATCCCGTGATGCACATGTCGGTTATACCACCCTCTATGTCCTTGATCAGGAACGAGAATGGATCTCGTTTGATATTTCTCTTCCTCACCGCTTTGATGTTGAAGCTAGCGCGCATAGCCTTCTCGAGAACGAATAACGCTTTCGCGTCTATTTTATCCAGTTTCAATCTGTTCCGGCGATCGTACGAAATTTTCATAAGTATAGATTCGAACACCGACACGTTCACGGGATAATTATTCAAATTTTGAAAATTTTCGAACAGCACCCTCCTCGCAGCACCCCCTCCTTGCCCAGCTTCCAGAATCTCACCCCAACCCTCCGATTCTCCTCCGTTTCGCGAGCTAGATCGCGACTCGTTGTTGAACCTTCCCCCTTGAACCCTCGAACCTTCACCCAAACACGTTTTGTACACGACACCGTACCCGTCCTCGTACCTCTCGAAAGGTTTATACCTGAGCATGCAACGAAAATCGTCATCGGCCGAGACGACTATCACTCTGTAAGCGTGATACCGCCTCCACAACGTTTCGAAAATATCCCTCCAGAGTACGATCCCTACCGGTGATCTCCCCGTGAACACGATCAAGTATTGATTATTCGCGTTCCAAACGTGCCATTCCCGATAAACGAGGATGACGTCGAAATGGTCGATCGTGAATAACCAAGTGATTCCTTCCAGTTCGTTGTTCTTCCAACAACAGGATTTAACAGGCTCTCCCGTGGTGCTCACTTTATACGTCTGGATCGAATTCTCTCTGATATATCGGAGAACAGCTTCGGTGGGGGCCGATTGAAATTTCGTCAATATGACGGAGATGGTGAGGGGTTGGAACTCGGGGGATTGGCGAATAAAATTCAACACCAGCCCGAGATTGTCGATCTTTCGCCCGGATAAGTGGTTATTCTCGATATTCTTGAATTTATCGTGGAACCAGGAGTGCCTCGTCGAAGAGCAAGGTTTCATCAAGACGAGGAAGAAAACGTATATCAGATGCATCTCTCTCATCTGTCTCGTTGCGATTCTCGTTTCTTATCGATCTCATCCCTTGCTTCTTTTTTTACTTTTCTTTTTTTTTTTTAGGGAGATTGGAAGGGAGTTCCAGCTCGTTGATTACTTCAAAGATGGAAGAAATCGATTTCGATCGAGTTGATTTTAATAAACTCCGCCACTTTCGAAGTGAATTCAACTTGTCCAACCGTGAAAATTTCTATTTTAAAATTTCTTTTATAACGGTATTACGAACGATCGATTTATTACAGGTAAGATTAGAAAACTTTTGTTCTATTAATACTTTTGTTCGTTATTTATAACGATTAGATCGTCGATCAATTATATTCCACGATCATTTGTTACCGATGTGATTACAAATCGTAATGGATCGTTAATTATTAATTCCAAAGAGAGAGAGAGAAAAAGAAAAAAGAAGAGAAAGGAAGGACTACGCTTCGGCAAGCGAAGAGGTAACGCGAAGAACTGGATAGGATATGCAAGTTGTTTCTCAAACCCGGAGCGAGAATATTCGTGTGCGCCTGTTCATATATAGGAAAAAATGAAGTTCCTATAGGAGGAAAGGTGATCGAAGATTAAAATCGAAAAGATTGAAAAGTTGTGATTATAATGATTTAGGTTAGCTAGTAAAAAGATATCCGAGCGGTGAATCGTATCGTAAATCATCCTATACGACGAACCTCGATCGATAAATGCGACCATTTTACACCGCTGATTACAGTTATTTCTAATTTTTCCCCGAAGTTGACGATGCGAAAAACGATGATGAACGACTTATTCGTTGATTTCTTAGGTCACGCGAGTCGTTTCGTGAAAAATGGCGGGAAAATACAGTTTTTAAAAAGAAGTGATCGTTACCTCGTAACCTCCTTTAAAGCTTTTCTGGAAAATTTTTTTTATCGCCTTTAAATGATATCGAGTTGATATCGAAGAAGGGACGTTGTTTGAACGATTTCTATATTTTTTTCTTCCGTACATACGTAATTCAATTCGACGTGTATTAAACGATAATACGTTTGTCAAGAATGAATATAGAATTATCTTGAAAAAATGAAGAGATCTATCTTATTTTAAATCATCGGTTATTATCCGATATCAAAAACAAGAATCGAATTATATTATATTTTTTCCCCCCTTTTTTTTTCTCTACTCGCTCGATCAAACGTGATAAATATCGAATGAAAATATGAAAAACGAGAGGGGAAAAAAATGATCGACGGTGTAGATGCAAAACAAAAAAAAAAAAAGAAAGAAAAAAACATGACGGGAGTGAAAGAAGCATTTGATGAAATAAACGCGTGCATTCGCTCTTCCTCCCCTTTCTTTCTCCTTATTCGTTCGATTAATTATATTTTTCTCGTTCAATTAACCATCGAACGTGCGTGAACATGGATGATTCAAGAGGGGTAAAAGAGGGAAAAGAGAAAAGTGAAAAATCGAGCAGTTAAACTCCTTTGCATAATGTGAAACGTTATGTAACAATTATTCCGTTTAAAGGATAATCGAGAAAAGTGGTAAAAGGTTGAAAATGAAACGAATGAAAGAAGATCGAAAAAAAAAAAGTCTTCGTATCCTTTTTTTATCTTTTTTTTCCACTTTCACAGATTTGCGTCTAACTAAATTTTGCTAACTTTATTGTTGTTGTTTGTAACAGGGTGAAAAGGTTTTATACGATTTTCATCCGTTTATTTCTGCCTGCTGTGTTTATCTCGAGAAAATCGGGCAAGCATTTCCCTCTCATTTGCCACGCTTCGACAGATCATTAAGTTCGAAAGTAGAATATTATCTCGTTCATTTCCATAGGATATTTGTCAAGAATTCTCCCTCTCTTTCTCTTATTTATATTTCCCTTTCATTCTTCCCAACTGTCATTATTGCATCATCGTTAATTCGGGTAAGATACTTTCGTTTAATTAATTTTTTTTATTTCCTCATCTCTTGAAAATTGAACGATTTCGTTTAATGATTCGGAAATATTTGCAGATACTTAACCTTAACCTTAATAATAAATTTAATAAAAATTAATTAAACCTTCTCAACCTCCACTTGCCCTACCAATTCTAAGAGATATACGGATTTTAATTAAAGAATACAAGGGAATGACAAGAGAGTAATTAAATTTAATTTGAATCGCTGCATGTCACTTCTTTAACCGTGCTTAAATGGAATTTAATACGGCAAAATTCGCTGAATAATCCGTAGTAATTAAATATCTCATCGATCAAAGTAACCGGTGTACGAGTGTGAAATATATTGGCTCGTTTAAAAATTAGAGAGGGACGAGACTGGTATGAAATAATCGCTCGACATTATTAATCGACAGCTCATAAACAACAATAATCGGGTTTTTACATAATAATTCTACGTATAAATATATAACATCTTGTACGCGTTAATATCGAACATTTTCAATTTTTCAGATTTTTATTTTTATTCGTTCCCGTATTCATTTTCTCAAAAAAAAAAAAACCTTCTCTCCTTAACATCAACAATAAAAATTTTCGTCCTC